AGCGCCCCTAGAGGACAGAGTGGAACTGCCCCACAGGGTCTCCAAGGCTGTCAATCTTCACAGAAGCAAAGCCCAAACCACACCCAGTGCCGTGGAGTCCATTATGACTCACAGCGCCCCTAGAGGACAGAGTGGAACTGCGCAGAGGGTTTCCCAAGTTGTCAGTCCTTTACAGGACCAGACTGCCTCATCTTTCTGCTACAGAGCAGATTCAAACCTCAGACCTTTTGATTAGCAGCCCGATGCTTTAACCACTGTGCCACCGGAGCTCCTTCTCTCCTTGTCTAGTATCAGAGAATCTGAATCAATGACTGAAGGTTTCAGAGTGGAGCTTATGAGAACTTTTTCTTCTTTCCAGTATATTTTAACGTAGGAAACACAGGTTTTCTCGTAGGTGAGCCTTTATTTCTTCTCCTGACCTTCTGTTTCTGTCATCTTACAGATACCTGGTTTATAATTAGCTGCCATCAAGTTGATTGTGATTTGTGGTCCCCTCACATGCATCAGCATAGAATTGGTTTCCACGGTGTTTTTTTCCTTGGCCGACTTTTGGAAGTAGATCCCTAGGCCTTTCTTCCGAGGTGCCTCTGGGTGGTCTTAAACCACCAGCCTTTTGGCTAGCAGCCAAGCACTTAACCCTAGGCATCTGTGCAAATAGTGTATTGTCTATATGTTTTGAAAGGCGCTCTCATGGCACTGCAGTTAAAACCTCGGGCCACTAACCCAAAGGTTGGCAGTTTGAATCCATCAGCAGCTCCGCTGGAGAAAGGTGAAGCAGTGAGTTTCCATGAAGACTGACAGCCTTGGAGACCCTCTGGGTACAGTTCCACTCTGTCCTCTAGGGGCGCTGTGATTCGGAATCCACTCCAGGGAGTGGGTGTGGTTGCTTTGCTTCTGTGAAGGTTGACAGCTTTGGAGACTCCACAGCAGTGGGTCTGTTGTTTTATACATTTTGATAGTGACTTCCTTAAAGTACTACTGTCAGAAAGGGGGTACATTATTCCATCAGGTGGTCCTGCAGTTTCTAGTACAGTCCATCCCTTGACTGAAGGTAGATACAGAGAAGGGGGTGGGTGGGAATCAGTAGCCTCTGTTAGATGTGGAGAGTGCACTGTACTGTGAGGAGTAAGTACCTTCTGAAGAGCCAGGCTCAGGAAGGAAGGAAATCCCGTTTTTGCCTGGGGCCTGCCAGGGCAGGTGTCCCTGATGCCTGGGAAAGACTGTGCGAGAGAGGCTCACGGCCATACTTTATCTGTGACTATGCCCAGAATCCGCACTGTCACATCCAGAAATGTACTCTTAGCAAGTTTGAGGAAGTTGGTGATTTTCTTTGTTTCCATGTCATTTTGACCAAGCGTAGAAAGAGAGGCTCCAAGCGGTGCTAGAATTCAGGGCATTTTGTGCACGTAGGGCCCCTGGGGGTGTACATGGTTGTCGTGCTTGGCTGTGAACAGGAAGCTCAGTGGTTCGCGTCCACGCGAAGGGGCCTCAGAGGAAAGGCCTGCCCCCCTGCTCGTGAAAGGCCACAGCCTTGAAAGTTCTGTGGGGCGGTGTGACTGCGCACTGGTGGGTCACCTGAGCTGGGCCCGAGCCCACAGCCACTCACCAGCTACAGTTAACGGGACTTGAAGCCGTGTCCTCTTGTCGTGTGGCCCTGGTGCCGGGGCTTGCCTTCCGACTGTGCCGTCGGTCGGTTTACTCACGGCGTCGGTTTTCCCCCAGGTGAAGAAGATCGTTGAGGAGCCGGTTCTCAGGTCTCTGGATGCCGTCTTGGCCAGTGTCGCAGAGGTGGGTCCTCCCCTCGGGCCTCTCAGTGAGGTCAGCCCCTTGGGCTCCTGTGGACAGGGTGGGCGGGGGGCCAGCCTGACGGGGGGTCGGCAGCGAGTTTTCAGTTTAATCGCCCCCCAGTCACACCTCATCCAGGAAAATGTAGGAGTCGTAGTGTCAGAACTTGTCTAACTGCAGGGGGAGTAATGAGGATCAGGGTTGACCCACAGCTGGTTCTCAGGAGGCAGGGGTCAGACATGTCTCCACCCTCCACCCTTTCTCCCAGTTCTGACACCAGCCATCCTTCCCATGGCACCTTCTACTTCTCTTCTGGGTTCGAGAATCCATTGCAGTGGCCACACAGAACTCACAGCCCAGACTCACCATTAAGTTCATTTAGAAACTAACAGGGCACAACTCAGGATCAGGACTGTTGGGGTCTCTAGTGCCAGCCTAACAGAGATACCACAAACGGGTGGCCTTCACAAACAGGTGTTTGTTCTTACAATTTCAGGAGGCTGGAAGTCTGAGTTCAGAGTGCCAGCTCTAGGGGCTGGGTGAAAGCCCCTTGACCTTGGCCTTCAGCGCTGCCTCCTGCTTCTGACTCACTGGAGCTGGAGGTGGCTCTTTCCTCAGGCAGCTGCTGGCTGCTGAGGCGGACAAACCCAAGGTCGACAAGTAAAGAGGCACAGTCCTGATATCACCAAACAACACAGCAGGCCACTGGTTCAAGTCCAGAAAATGTCCCAAGATTGGCAGGGCTTGGCAGGCTGCTGAATGAAGACTCGGCTACATGCAGGGTCCAAGCGTGCCAAAAAGGTTTTTCAAAGCGTCTCCTTATCTACTGGAAGCAGACCACGTTCCTAAGGCAGCTACTCAGTTGCTCCAGTAGGTCCCCCCATGGAGTTGATGACCAGTCTCATCCTGGGGAATCACTCCATCCAGCTGCCCAGCCACTCAACCAGGCCCGGCCCAGCTGACACACAATCTGAACTTCCACACGTGGGCCGCACAGAACTCACAGCCCAGACTCACCACTGAGTTCGTTTAGGAACTAACCGGGTACAACTCAGCATCAGGATTGTTTTGGTTCCCTAGTGCTGCTCTAACAGAAATACCACAAACGGGTGGCTTTCACAAATAGGAGTTTATTCTTAAAATTTGTGGAGACTAGAAGTCCGAGTTCACAGTGCCAGCTTTAGGGGCTGGATGAAAGTCTCTTGACCTTGGACTTCAGCTCTGCCTCTTACTCTTAGCCCACTGGAGCTGGAGGCCTCTCCTAGCTCAGGCAGCTGCTGGCTGCTGAGGCTGACAAACCCAGGTACGATAAGTAGAAAGGCACAGTCGCAACATTATCAAGCATCACCACAGGCCACTAGTTCAAGTCCAGACACAGTCCCAAGATCAGCAGGCAATGTGGCAGGCTGCTGAACGAAGCTTTAGCCACATGCAGGGTCCAAGCATGTAAAATAGCTGCCAAGACCTTCCTCAAAGCTGCTTCTTATGGACTAGAAGCAGCCCACATCCCTAAGGCAGCTATTCAGTTGCTCCAGTAGATTCCACTGTGGAGTTGATGGCCAATCTCATCATGGGGAATCACTCTATCCAGCTGCCCAGACACTGAGAACCAGGCCCAGCCAAGCTGACACACAACCATAACTACCACAGGGATCAACAGGCTACAGCTTAGGAGCAAGATCAGGAAGCACAGACGCAAAGTCTGGAAGGCTCCTTGGAAGGGGAGGCATAACCTTGAGGAATCCCAGAGGCCCTCCTCTCCCACGGCTGAGTCACGTCTGAAGTCACAGCTCCTGGACCCCCGCCCCCCGGGTCCAGGCTG